TCTTAAAACTACCTGAAAGTCCAGCAAAGTTGCTGTAAATGAAATGGCCATAAAACTGAATTACCTTACCAGGCAACTTGTAGATACAAGTTGCCTGACTGGGGGAGAGTAGGTACGCTTTTGCTTTTAAGCATAACACACACAAAATTATCCATAGAATATGAGGTGGAAAGTTCCCAAGTAAGTGTGTAGCGATGCATATTTTATCTTGTTTCTCAAGCACAGGGACTATAATTATTTGTACTACCAGCACTTTGCCTGCCACGTTCTGGGCAAGGAATATCTGTTGAAAGAATGAAGGAAAAAAAAGGGCAAATTTACACCCTTGAGTTTTCTTTTTCTCTGTGCGTTCTGACATATCTCCACTGGGAGGCAGCACATGACTTCAATAACAAATTTAAGAGACCAGTCATACTTAAATACCCTTCAAAATATGGTAGTTCCAGGTATTTCATGGTAACGAACAAAAGAAAGAGATGATATTCTGACCTTCTTAATCTACTAAATGAATGACTCTATGGCTACCTGTGCATTCAAATATTATCTCTTACTGCAGTTTAAAATATCTAAGTACTAATGGCAGTGAAAATGTCTGGGAATGACTTCTCAATGAAAATTACATATTTGTGGTTAGTGAGATGTAATTGAAATGATTGTTTCTATCTCTACCAACCAGAACAATAAGACATGCCTTGCATTTATTCTGTGTAATTCAAGGAGTGGTCAGCAAGCAAATGTGGAAGATGTTTTCAGGAAAACTGAACTTCGTAGAAGAATAAATATAATCCAACTCCTTAGCTGTTTATTTTTTGCCCCTTTTCTGTGTAATCAGAACACAGGCTGCTGTGTTAGTTGGCATGGGGCGTTTCCAGCCAATCAACTACAATATAGAAGGGTTACTTTAGTTACTTTGGACCAATTTTATGCAGCTATTTTTGCATCAAGGTTGATTTCAAGTCTGTCCTCAGCAATAGGATATGCGATTCCAAGTAATAACTGGAATTTGCATTGGGTTACAAACGGTTACTCTTCTTTCTAGAATAATGTTATTTGATTTGTTCAGTGTTTTCACCAGTTTACACAAGATTTACTAGTGGTCTACCTTTCTTTCTAAAACTTTACATCTCTCTTGTATAAATTTTGCCAATTGAAATTCTTTTCTCAATTAATGCCAAGAAGCTGATGATAAACACATAAACAGCAAGAACATTTCTCACATTTAAAAAAAAGAAATCAACTACAGCATTCCCTTTGTAATGAGATCATGACTCTAGACGAGTTAGTATTACAAACTAGGGACAACTGAAATTCATCCACTTGCACTGTTGTGACATATACTCAATAAATTTATGGTGCTGTGTACGCAGAACTGGTCATACACAGCACAATCTCACATTTTTATCTTTAAAAATGTTCAAAGGCTTGAGTTAAGCTGTTTATCAATAGAAAATATGTATGTTCCTGGCCGGGTAGCTCAATTGATTAGAATGTGGTCCTGATACACCAAGGTTGCAGGTTCGATCCCCAGCCACGGCTCATACAAGAATCAACCAATGAATGAATGCATCAATAAGTGGAAAACAAATATCTCTCTCTCTCTCCTTCTCTCTCTAAAAATCAATCAATAAAAGGAAAATATGTATGTTTTTCTAAGTCAGTATTCTGAATTAATATTGGTAATTCCCAATTTTCAAATATAGAATCATTTTTATTTCCAAAAATTCACTGAGTTCACAATCTGATTTAATATTAATTGCCTAGATTGTGAGCATTTTTAATATTTTGTCTTTTTTCAAGGAATATATCTTCTTTTTCCTATTTTTTTCTGTTCACCTTATTCTTCTCTTTCCTCTCTCCCTTTTCTCAACTCATCTCATTCTAGTGTTGAACTATTAGGTTTCAGTTCTAAACAATACCATAAATAGGGTTTTTTAAAAGTTTAATTTTCCATGCAGTTTTCATCTTGGTTTATACATGGCCAGCCATCCAAGGTGCAGAGATTGATAGACTAACCAAATATTGTCCCCCTGCGTGATAAGGGATGCCAGGTTCCCAACAAAATATCTGAAGCCTCACTCCCCAAAGCCCCTTTCCCTCCACAAAACTAACTCCAAGTTTTGTGTACTCTGTTATTTGCAGCATCCCACTTCCAAGGAACAAATTCTGTATCAGTTAAAATTTGAATCAGTTCTAGCTCTTGCTTTTTATAATAATAATTTTTAAAAACAAACAAACAGTGGCTTAAACAAAATAGAAATACATATTTTTTTCTTATATAAGAAGTATGGAGGGAAGCTGTTTAGGGACCGAGACATCTATTTTTCTGATTTATAATCCATAGGATCATCGCAAGACCCAAGATAGCTGCTGAGCTCTTGCCATTATATCCATATTCCAATCATCATGGAGAGCAGGCACAAACAGGCCCCTCTTGGTTGAATTAGTTCTTTTAAGAAAGCCCTTTCAGAATTTCCATCCAAAACTACTACTTGCATCACAAGCCGCATGGCCCCAATAGCACCAAAGAAGTCCAAGAACTTGTTTTTAATTTAGAGAGAAACATTCCCACAAACTTAAGTGTCTGTTACCAGGAAAGAAAGAAGATTGGAAAGCAAATGGCAGTCCCTGCCACAGTGATCATTACAATTATCTTGATAATAGTGGATAATGGAAACAATCTAAATGGCCTGAAGAATAAACAGTTAAATAAAATGTAGCATGTTCATATATTAAATATTCTCTTGGTATTTAAAATATGTAGATTACTGTTTATGGACATAAAAAGTTATTCAGGATACATTGCTGAGTGGGAAAAAAACAACTCAGCATCTGTAACGCAATCACAGATGTAAAATTATGTCGGAAAAGATTTTTTTAATGTTAACAATGGTCAGATAACCACAGAGATTAGTACTTTCTTTATGTAATTTTATTCTGTTCTTTATGTTATGAATTTTTTTTACAATGTTTTGAATTTTTTATGATGACTATGCAATGACCATACTCATGATTACCGTGGAAATAAAAAGACACTGAATGAAATTATTCATCTTCAATATATCAAAAGAGTCACTGAAAACTTCCTATTTGCACATAATCTTCAGCCAGTAAGGGTTTCAGGCTTCCCTATGATGCCAATTTCCTACTGAAAATATTATAAACTGTACTGAATACCAATGTTTAAGTAACTGGGCAATAGCAAACTGTAGTGAGGACTCCTTGTAAAAATCCTTCTTTGTTTTCTTGTCTTAGACGTCTTCCTCCTGCGATTTGAGTCTGGTACTCACTCCCCTTCTCTTTCTGTGAGTGTTTAGTATGGTGTTCAGTAGAAAACAAATAGGGTTTTTATTAATACCTTCCTATGTTTGTGCAAGTTTTAATTGCAGCAATTAATTTCGTTGGGTAGTCATCACCCCTATTTTCATTCTGTCAGATACAATCATATGTGAGACTTTGTCACTGAGGAGTAAATAGCATATTTGAAATAAGTCTGCCTTTCCTGCGTCTATGAGAAGTAAGCCTTCGGCATTGTTCCTTTATCTCTGAAATGGGTAGAATAAAGGTAAACTCCTTTACCTACTTAAAAGAGTATTGTGAAGATAAGATCATTATAGGAAATGTTATTGCAAAGTTAAAAGTAGCATTTATAATATCGGGACAGGCTGGCTTATCTTAGAATCAGGTGGCACACGCAGTGCTGAGCAGAAGCGCTCGTCTTTGGAACTGCCCACAACACCTGCAGCCAGTGGCGCCAAACAGCTTGGTTGCTACTTCAAAGGGCAGCAAAAAATTGAGGACAGCAGGTGTTACAACAGTAAAGACTAGATCACTACCCAGAAATCCATGGTGAAAAAGCAGCCATAATTTCTTGCATCACCCCCTTGGGCTGGGTGAGGAAACCTTAATTTAGTGTGTAAATTGTATTGTATGAAAGAATTTTTAAAAAATAGATGATCTCTAATTTTCTTAAAATATCATTTTTCAAGATGCTCACTCATTCCAAACAACTGAGAAGTATTGTAAACTCCTCATAGAAGAAAGAAAAAAAAAATTCCCGAAAGATTAGGGACAAATATCTCTTTTCCACTTAATTGAAGCAAAAACATAGTCTGCTTATAAAAGTGGTCACTCTGAACACACACACACACACACACACACACACACACACACACACTATTATATCATCTCCTTTGAAATGACATCTGGCTTAACCTCCATTTTCACAGGTGGAGAGAGTTGGGGGTAGAGCATTCTGAGACTGCCATTAGCGACAGTTGGATTCCCTCTGAATTAAGTTGAGTTAAGTAGTGCCTGAGGGACATTAGGGGCTCCTCTTGGATTGGGTCTCCTGTTCAGCACCTGGAGAAGCTTATATTGCCTTGGTAACCAAGCCTAAACCCTTTCTTAACGTTGAAAAGGGTGATTGATGCTTATTGATTTACGATAGTTCTGGTGAATTGTGGTTTCTCTCACCGTGTAGATGAGTTTCTCGTTTTTCTTTTTTCTACTAAAGGGATTTGTGAGGTACATATAACAGTGCGCCCTTTACAACCCCCTATGTATACATAAGCTATTTCCCAACATTTTAAGCTTTCTCGCCCCAGTCCCTTTGTGAGCTTTGTCCACTTTGAAGAGAGCCTGTGCATCTGTGGAGGAGATGCCTTCGGCGATGGTTTTTGAAACATGTCTCTGTCACCCGCAGAAACCCCTTTCTGTGGACAGACCGACATGGACACTTTCTTAACAATCAGTTGCCCCAGCACTGCACTGGGCTTCAATCACTGTATTGAGACCTGTTCCAAGTAACTTCTTACACCATCATTGTTACCATCTCTCAAATGTTTCAGACTTTAAATATACCACCAGGATATTTACATGGGACTTACTTAAAATATTATAGAGGAAGTGTTACCTGTATAACATTTTTGCTGAAAGCAACATTGTGTTTTGTTATTATTGTTGCCATAACTGTTGACATTTGTTTTCTCCCTTGCTTTTAGCTGTGAGAGTACTGTGTCTTACATGGATGAACCTGGCCAGCGTGATGTTGCCTCTCGCCTTACAGCTCAGATGGAAAACACCTATCAGCTGGGTGTGTTATTTTTTCACTGGCTTCTATTTTAAACTTGTAATTTCATGAATGGTATTTACTTACACTAATATCTAATAACCTGGCATTATCTTCAATGCTAGTATAATATAAGGGATCCTAATTGAGTGATTTGATGCTGCTTTAATTTCTTTTTTCTTTACTTTTTCTTTTCGTGTCATCACCCCAAACTTTATTGCTGCAAAGAGGTCTCTATGATTCTACCTCTGCAGTGCCAAGGCTGCAGTTCTTCGTGTGAGGGTTTCTCCCCGGGAAGCGATATGTCTCCGTGTCGAAAGGTGGACAGAGGGCACCTTGGCAACACATGGGACAAGCTTTTCCCAAGGAGGAATCTCGGGATGCTCCCTCACTCCCAGGGGCTGAGGCTAGCAGGCCCCTCAAACCCCAGCAGCTCAGTTGATTAATGCTACATAAGTCCTGATTAGCTCCCCCACCCCCTCACCCAGAGACTGGACTAGGGCAATGGAGAGGAATGAGGTGGAGAGGGCTCATCCTAAAGAAATATGGAAGTCTGAAGGGGTCATGTGTGTGGAGACAGGTCAAGACTTGATCCCTTCACCCCATCTCCTAGTCTGCTTGTGCTCATGCAGAACCCCTGACCTGCCCTTCTGGGGGGCAGCCATGAAAGTGCTTTGAGGTCACCACAGTGCAGCTGGCAGTGCCCCGTGGCTGGGGCAGGCCAGGGGCAGGGCAGGGGCAGTGTGGGCATATGCCTGAGCTCTGTCTCAGGAAGCTGTTGTGCAAGATGTTGAAAGCCGCGGCTCGGACAGCAGTAGCACCTACAGCTGCTACTTTCTTTTCCATCTATCTATCTTTTCCGTCTTATCCTCAGACAGTTCCTGTCAGGAAGGTCTCGTGCCCCTCACCCTTCACTTTTACAGATGAGGAAACTGAGTGCCAGCTGGTCGGGGCAGTGCTGGGCTTGCAGTTGGGGCTCAGCCTGCTGCTCTGGGGAAGACTGGTGGCCGGCAGCACAGGGCACATGCCTGGGAACTGAGAGCCGTATCACTTAAGCACCTTCTTTGTTCCTCGGCTGAAGCTAAGTTCAGCGCAGAACCCGTGTTGCAACACCCTGAAAATTGTGGTGTGTTCTCCCGGTGTCAGGCATCCTCCCGCCCTGACTGTCTGAAGAGTTCCTAGGTGCAACAGGGGTTCGATGGCCAGGCAAGGCCAGGCAAGGGGGTCAGGGGGCCCCCTGTTTACCCAAGGGTGGGCCCGCCTGCTGCCTGGCCCTATACTGGGCCTGGCTGTGGGTCTGCAGACACTCGACATGTGATGCTGCTTTAATTTCTTCCTCTGCAAATGGGACCAGCTCCCACTGCCTACTTTTCTTTATCACGCTTCTTAAACAACAAGCCATTCCCTGGACAGCACTGATGTGTATTGTGTTTTACTGATTTAATAAGTTCATTGAGTATTTGGGGGTTATCTTGTGAACTTCTTTTATATATACTTGAAATGAAGTGTGTGTGTGTGCGTGTGTGTGTGAAATAAAAGAGATTTGCATTAAAGTTTTATCCAACCAATGCTGATGATAAGTGGAGGGGGAAAAAAAAGCCTTCAATGCGAAGGCAAATGATTTCTGGTCCCCTGTTAACAGAGATATTTATCCTTCACACTGAGGTTTCAGAGCTTTGAAAACAAAGATCGTTGCACCTGCCTCTGAACTCCCCGTGGAGCCCGCAGTGAAGGTCTATTCCCGTTCATGTTTCCTCACAGACCTGACTTGTTTTCTCTCAGTGCGAACCTGCCCACTATTATCTGAATCCAAATATAATTACTGCTATATGGAAATTCCACAGAGACTTCCTAGTGACCAGAGGAAGACCCTGCGGGCCAGAGCGCTTCCATCTGTGCCAGTTAACCCCAAGAAAATTATAGGCCCTCAGCGCCTCCCCTTGGGCCTTGTGGCCGGTTTTCTGCAGTAATCCCCACGACGACATGGATTACAAGGCTCCGTAATTAGCAGTCCACTGGTATTTGCTTAGTGCCGTGGTAGACAACTAGTATTCCTGCCATCCAATATGCTTTCATACTTCTTCTGGTAACCATTCCCAGTTTTGGGGGGGGAAGATATCATTACCATTTGGGTCCAAAGGTTACCATACTTCTTCTGGTAACCTTTCCCAGTTTTTGGGGGGGAAGATATCATTACCATTTGGGTCCGTAATGTTTGGCTAAAACGGACTGCAGCTTTAGCCGGATGTTATGGAACAGTGACTGCTCTGGGCCGGCATTCAATTCAGAAAACATTTGAGCTGCTGAAGCAGCAGATCGGGCCCTGAGACCCGAAAGGAGGGAGGGGTTGTGGCAGATTTTGCTATTTTGCCCTCACATGAAGCCTGACATCATGAGGGAACGAAATCCTAATGAGTCCTAAATCCAAAGCACTCAAGTTTTTTAGTTAGGCAAGCTCAGCAGGGGTTAGTTTTTCACCCAATTATGACTGACTGAAAGAGCTTGGCCCTTCGCTGCCTATAATTTTTTCTCTGCACACTGAAAGGGTTTGAGTCAGATTTCAGCAAGATAAAGGAGTTGAAATATAAGGGCCTGTGTTTCTTCTTCATAGGATACATTATTTTCATAACTGATTTCTTCAAATAAACGAAATCGCCTTATCAATTTAGAAGTATGGAATGTTGAACCAAGTTAGAAAATTTTCCAAATACCTCAATATATACACATATATATAGTATTTTCCATATTTTCTTACAAAAACTCATGTGAATTATTCTCTTATAATGAAAGTATTTTATTTTCAAATATGTTTTTATTTATTTGAGAGAGAGAGAAACATCCACCGTGAAAGAGAAACATCAGTCAACTGCCTCCTGCATGCCCCCTACGGGAGATCAAACGTGCCCTGACCAGGGATCAAACCAGTGACCTCTCGGTGCACGGGACCATGCTCAACCCACTGAGCCATACCTGCCAAGGCTAATTAAAGTATTTCATGCTCAACAAGCCATGTTTTAAGCATTCAACTAGCCAGCTTATTAAAATCAAAAACGTATTTCTACTTCCACTTAGTTTGCATCTGAAAGCTACTCCGTGGGCCCTTGGTAAAGACTGTCTCATAGCTACAGAATGCAGTGCTGACCAGAGCAATGGGAGGCGGGATGGGGGCAGTCAGGCAATCACCAGGATTATGTGTTTAATTTTCACATTCCAATAGTATTTTTATCATCTAAAGAGATCTTAAATGTTCAGCATGTTTGCCCTCCCTTTATCTGAGTCATTACAGCCACCAAGAATGAGATGAACCATGAGTGTAAATTAATGACAGAAAAAAAGGAAATGAAATTATTTTTCTTACAATAAAACACCATTTACACTTGCTCATTAATTAATTACTAAAACACGCATATAGAAAAAATATATAGGCTATAGGATCCAATGTATCTAAATTCAAATACCAGTTTTGCCAAATCCTAACTAAATAATGTCTGAGCAAGGTATCCAGCATCCTTGAATCTCAGTTTCTTCATCTGTAAATATGGGTTATAGTCCACACATCATAGGGATTCTATGAGAATTAAATGACTTAATGTATTTAAATTGCTTCTCCGTTCATTGTATTATTGCTTCTCAAAATGACTGACTCTAAGACTTTACCTTGGATCACTGAGACAAAAAGCCTTCTATGACATCCAATATAATTTCCTATTCATTATGGAATAAGTTCTCCACAAGACTTTTTTGGGAGCAATGATTGAAGAGGTACTTGATTCTTTATGACTATAGCCCTGGCCTGTTTGGGTCAGCGGTTTGATCCCAGGCCTGGGTTGGGGTCGTGCAGTCGATGTGTCTCTTTCACATCTCTCTCTCTCTCTCTCTCTCTCTCTCTCTCTCTCTCATTAACAACAACAACAAATAATACTGACTGTGAGCACCAAGTCAGACAAGAGTCATCGGTGGCCACATTGCTGCCACATTGAGATAACCTGCGTGAGAATAAAACAACATAACGGAATGCAGAATTTTAAGATGGAGAGAGAGAGAGATCATTGGAGCTCAACTTCCATGATGATCAGGCCCTGTCATCAGACGCTTTCTTGGACACAGCCTGTGGGTCTCAGCTCTGCGTGCACCCCACCCCGTGGAGCTCGCCCTCCCTCCTTACAGGCCCCTGAGCCGGCTGCCTTCTCAGCACCAGCACCCCCGTTCCCACCCCACCCCCCACCCCCAGCCTGAGACAGCAACAGTAACAACATGTATCTACTGAGAGGGCTCGGGGCTGTGGCAGGCACTGTTGTAAACTCTTGAAGTAGTTCAACTCATTTAATCCTAACAAAAAAACAGCGTGTGGTCATTCTTATTATTTATCTCAATTTGGGGAAGCTGAGACACAGACATAGTAAATAGCCAATTTTTTTCTATTCTCTCTTACCTATTTTATGGGCAAGTTTTTCTTTTATTCTTTCTTTTTTATCCATCAGACCTTATTCAGGTCCTTGATTTTTTTATTTCTAAAATAATTTTTCTCTCCTTAAGAAAAACGATTTTTCTCAAAAAAGAAAAGAAGCAGGCTTTGGCATTCGTATCACTTGACTGAGAAAGGAGCTTCGGAGCTCATTTGGGAAGTCAGACGCCCAACACGGCCGGTTTCTTTCTCTCTGCATCTCAGCCTCCCTGCCGAGCAAGGCAGTGGATGCTTCTGGCTGTGCAGGGCACACGTCGCAAAGAAGCGAGAAAAGTTCGTTACTGTGTTTCATAGTATTTTCAGAATAGAATCTGGTTAGTAAGATTTTTTTTTTTTAAACCAAGAAAAGTGCCGAAAAGACATTGGTCCATCTGGACAGCCGGAATACCAGCAGCAGGGACTCGGCGCCACCAGGAGTCTGTTTCCAGCACCGAGCGTGTGAGCGCCCCTCTCACTGAGGTCTGGATGCTCCTGCGAGGAACGTGGCCTTCGGTGCTAGTTCCTGTGGGTCACATGGCACAACTTTGCCACAGAAAGAGCCTGACTTCCCCACCCCCATTCCAATTTGAAATAAAAATTCCAAGAAAGGACCCTAATTAGCCTCGCTTGGGGCAAGTGCCACCCTGAGCCAATCAAACACGACCTGGGCTCGAGCTCAAAGGAGGAGGTAGAACCACGTGGTTCGGCAGGATGAGGACCAGTTCCTGGGAAGGGCGATGCTGTTCCCTAGGGGCAGGGAGGTGTACTCGGCAGACACACATCTGCGCTGAAAGAAGTACTTCTGGCTGAAGGGAGCAGTGCATGTGGCCACCATAACGCGTGACTGAATTAAGTTTCACGTGAGTGATGTAGGTCAGGTAAGGTCTGTGTGATGTGAATGCTTGGTCGGAGGGAATGAAAAAGAGAGGTATCCATCTAAAGGACATAATCTCTTTAACTGGGTCCCAGCTGGTAGCATCATTAAATAGAAAGGGGGAAGTCACCCTCAAATTTAGCCTCATTTCACTAGAACGTTTGAGTAGAAATCTAAAAGATCCACAGAAAGTGGCACCAAGGCCTGTAGGTGGGGGAGCTTGCCTACCACAGACCCCACGAAGCAGGAGTAATTGGGACCAACCTTGCACAGGTTTATAACGGCTTATCTCTGTCCTGTAGAACAGATTCCTGCTGGCTAAACATTGGGGTTAATTCTCACACTCATTGTATCAGGTGTCTCTGTTTTACATGTTCAGATTCATTCCCCACACTAATATAAACCTAACTGAACAATTCTTATAAGATCATCAAAGTAGAAATACTATTTATTGAGCCTCAGATTAGAAATACCGTTTATTGAGCCTCAGGAGGCTGACTTAACTCAACTGTAAGCATGGGCTGTAACCTTCTGTGCAGTTCAGCCAGTGGGGAACCTCAGCAGGAAGCCACGGGGTGGAAGGAGTGTGAGCTGGGTATTTTTCCCTACCCTGCCTGTGGGTTCATCTCAGGCTGTTTGCAGCCATCAACAGAAGGACAGAACTGCTCTCAAGGGAGCCTGCTTCACATGTTCTCCCAGGATCTAGTGAGAGTTCTTTTCTCATACCCTCAAGCCTGGGGCAGGAAGAGGATAACACCCTCACTTTCACTAACCCAGAGGTATTTTTTTGTGTGATTTCCTACATCATGCCCAGACCTCTGTAAGGAGTCTCTTCATTAAATCCTCCTGGAATTGTCTTAACTTTAGTGTGTCGTGCGATCCCTTGGACACTGACTGATGCAGTCATTAAAAATAAAGACTTAAAAGATACTGATGCTGTTCTAATAGAATTGGATATAATTCTTGATCTCGTATCTGTATCCATATCAATTCAGCAGATGAGTGAGCCCCTGTACCCCAGACAGAATGACGACAAGGTTACTATTCCCAGGAGGTACAGGTAAGATTCCTGGAGTGCAGACTAAAGAAATCCATCTGAAGCTCTTTATCTGAACATGGACTAAATGTGGTTAAGAATATGAGCTCTTGAGTTAGGTAAACCTGGGACTATATCCCAGCTCTGCCACTGTGTAATTCTGGGCAACTTACACAACGCATTTAAACATCAGTTTCCCCATCTGTGAAATGGAGATAACAGTAAGATTCACCCCAGAGATTGATTGGAAGATTATATAAGGGGATAAATATGAAATTATCATAGTGCCTGACATGTAGAAAAAGCTCAATGAAAGTAGCCATGATCTGTACCATGATTATTATCTAGAAATGTTTGTTTCTATTTTATTTCAGAAATCATAAATTAAACATTTCTAATGCCTTTGGCATTGTATTAGACTCTGAAGAGGATAAAATTCCGGCCTACGATATCATTTCACTGGGAGAAAGGCAGGTATGCCTTAGCTGTTAGGTAGATCAGAAGCCAAGACAGTGGTGGAGTCCGCATTGGGAACACAGAGAAGAGAGGGATGATTTTTATCCGAAGAGAGGAAAAATGCTACCTGGAGAAGACTTTTGAGCTGGCCTTGAAACATTAGTGGGTATTTCTCAGGTGAACAAGGTGGGAAAGGCTGTTCCATATGAAAAGAAGAGCAGGAGCAAATGTCCAAGCCTCCGTTAAAAGACAGATGACGTCCATGAGATGGAGCAGCATCCATGCGCAGAGCTGTGATGGCTGGAGAAGGGGCCACGGGGAGGATGGACAGTGAACATTAGACCTTGCTAAGGGAAATATCATCAGGTCTGGGATTTAGAGCGATCCACCCAGTTGCAGTGTGGTTATAGACTGAAGGAGGGGAGAGGTGTTGAGCCTTGGAAGTAAGTGATTAATAGTGGGAACTGGGAAGGAGGATCCTTTTCAATGTCAAACCTTAAGAGTTGAACACACTCTTTCGGTAGTCAGGTAAATGGATGAATCCACTGTCTTATCCTCTGCCAGGAACCTGTGGGAAACCTGATTAAGCTTACTTTTTTCCTTATGTGAAGGCCACGCCAAAGATGAAATGTCTCTCCATGTTTCAGTACTCTTAAATTGCCTATGAGGTGGGCAAGTATGATAGAAAATGACTTCCTAGCCCTGGCGGGTGTGGCTCAGTTGGTTGAGCATCCTCCTGTGCACCAAGAGGCTGCAGGTTCAATTCCAAGTCAGGGGCACATGACCAGGTTGCTGGCTCCATCCCCAGTAGGGGGCGTACGGGAGGCAGTCGATGGATTTCCACTCTCGCATTGGTGTTTCTCTTTTCTCCTTTCCTCTTTCTCTAAAAAAATCAATAAACTATTCTTTACCAAATAAATAAATAAAATTACTTCTTAGACAGAAATTTTGTCTGTATTTTCAGGTCCTTCCAAACATTTTCCCGTGGTTACTGTCAATCATATTCTGAGAGATGTGCTAACTAACTATCTACAGGAGGAACAATATGAACCCGAGCTCTGTAGACAGCTGACTAAAACGATTTCTGAGGTAATGTGTGATTTGCCTGAAGTGTTAACTATAACTAGAATATTTGCTGAAAGCACAACCCCCTACTTTTTGAAGAAGACAATTAATTTGCAGTAGCAGTAGAAATGCTTACTTATATTTTATTTTATTAAAATATGTATTAGGTCATATTATATGTGTGTGTAGAAGCCTTTGTCTAAAACAATCATTATGTTCATCATTTGCATGTATTTGGTTTTAAAAATGTATAAAACTGCCCCATTTATTGTTTTAAATTATTGTAAAAGATAAAATATTTTACTGATCATTTCTCTTCCTTAAGGCAGCTTTGATGGCCATCAAACAAAGACATTATGGCTTTTAAATACATTTAAACTCATTCATTTCTATTTTTATCAACTAAAGCACTGGCACTCCATCGAGTTTTCTCTATTTGCTTTTTTATAACAAAGTCTTTAGTGAACATTTATGATTAGTCATATAGGAAACTCCAAATGTGTGGTCTCTTAATTAGACATGATCAAGATGGTGTAACCCAATGCCAACATTCTTTGAAGGGAAGCCATCTTAACATAGATTTTCAAAAGAATGTAATTACTATTAAATTCTGTTTTCTGGATTACAGTTTTTTCACGTGTCTTAGAAAATGTAGATTTATGCCCTTGCCAGCTTGGCTCAGTGGTAGAGCGTTGGCCCACAGACCAGTGAGTCTTGGGTTCGATTCCGGTCAAGAGCACGTACCTCAGTTGCGGTCCTTCCCAGACCCTGCTCGCGGCTGTGTGGGAGGCAGCCAGTTGATGTGTCTCTATCATGTTGATAGTTCTCTCTCTCTCCCTCCCTCCCATTCTATCTGAAGATAAATAGAAAAAGATCTGCCCTGGCCGGTTTGGCTCAGCGGTTGGAGCATCGGCCTGCGGTCCGGAGAGACCCGGGTTCGGTTCCCGCTAAGGGCGCGTACCTCGGTTGCAGTTTGTCCCCGGCCCTGGTCGGTTGTGCGGGTGGCAGCCACTCGATGTGTCCCTTCACATCGATGTTTCTCTCTCTCTGTTCCTCTCTCTCTCTCCCACTCTACCTGAACAAAAAATGGAAAAATGTCCTCGGGTGAGGATAAAAAAAAAAAATAGAAAAATATCCTCAGGTGAGGATTTTTATAAAAAAGAAGAAGAAAAAAAAAAAAGAAAATGTAGATTTATTGCTGGTGCTATCAGTTTGTCCCTTCATGTCCTGTTTCATGAGGACAGTGCTTGAAATACAACATAGTTATGGCTCTACAACAATTACTGAAAGTATCTACAATGGATCGTGCTGTTTTCTTAAATTAAATCCACTGTTTTTATGACGAAGATGAATACTCTTAAGTTTCAATGTTGCTAAGCGAGACCCCTTTTTCCCCCTCCTTAATTCTAGGTTATTAAAGCCCAGGTCAAGGACCTGATGATGCCACGGTATAAGCTCATTGTGATTGTTCACATCGGACAGCAGAATGGTCAGAGCATACTGGTCGGAAGTAGATGCCTGTGGAATCCTAAAAGTGATAACTTTTCATCTTACGTCTTTAGAAACTCTTCACTCTTTGCTCTTGCAAATGTCTATGCTGTTTACTTTGAGTGATTGCAAATAAGAAATCTAGCATTACTTTTTAAAATCAAGAAATAGGCTAAGTACACAAACGTTTTACTGACTAAAAGTTTGAGAAGGAGATATTAATACTTCAAATAACTGGAAGATTTTGGCTGTTTTAATACTCTTGCAAAGCTTGGGGGAGGGGAGGAGGGCACAAGAACAAATCTCATCTCAAGAAGGAACCAAGTCTTGGTGGGGAAAAAAATCTGTTGGATTTTTTCATAGACAGATTCTTATTAAATATTACCTTTGGTACTAATTATTTTAATTACTCTTCCCTTAAAGAGTTAGAATTTTCCACATTGTTTTCTTAAGGAAGATAAATTTTTTAAAAATACATGGCTACATACCCTGACCAATAAATAACAGTAGAAGATTCAGTACAGTATACACAAATGATAAATATGAATATGCCTTAGTGCTGCATATAAAAGAATACTGGCTTTCATTTTCTACTTAATAAATTGAGCAGCATTCATTAACTGCAATTATTGTTACATGTACCTGACAGTTGAAACTGCTGAGGTAGAATTAATGATTTCATAACAATTATCACGGTCCCACGAGGCTGCGAGCTAAAACTAGAAGCTTGTGGGTTGCCTGCACTTTATAAAACTGTGGGAGAATTAAATGTTGGCTCTTCAATAATGGAAACTATAAAGTGAATAAAGCCTTTTTAGGGCACTGAAGTAATCATTGTGATATTAAATATACATGATACTTAATAGTAAATGTATTTGTAACACATAAAAGCATGTATTGGAAAGAGACACTGCTTTGAAATATACACTGTCCGGTGTGCCTTTGGCTAGGTTTTCCTTGGCTAACAAACTTTTTCCCAAAAGATATAGCTGGCAGCTTAACACATGAGACATGTGTATTTACTATTTTGTTCTTATGAATTTAGTACCAAAGTGACCCAGTGTGGTTTTGAATGGATGGCACTAAAATTTATAGGGCTGAAATAGCTTTATTATTATGCTGGTTAATGTAGCTTGTACCGTGGATCATTTATTTTTATGGAGCTTTCAGCCCTTTGTGTGCACGTAAAATGATGCTGTGGCATTGTTCTTGGATGGCCGGTGGCCTGCCTAGAAGACATTTGTTAAAGGTCAAAGACAAATTGTACACAGATGGAGAATATTAGCAACTCTATAGTCCTAAGGAAAAAATGATGTGTAATTCATACCCAAAAGAATTTAACAAGTGGGAAAAGAGTCAGTGCTTTATAGTTTTAAAATGTATCAATGTCTCATTTTTTCCCCCCAAATGACATGTAATAAAAACACATATACTTTTAAAATTCCTTTCCTTCTGTTTGCTCTGGCTTTTAAGGTAGGTTTTGAAAATGAAGTTGTTGATTTTTGTTATTTTTTCAGTTAGTGCCTTAGTGAGAATATGTCCGTGTAATAATTTATCACAACCACCATTTGTTGATCTCCATAGACCAGTTTTGAGTCTGGATTATATTATAAATACAGAAAATAAATGAGCTCCATATTTTCATTACACATGTGTGAACATCTCGCCTCTTGAAACAATAGCAGGGACAATCGAAGAGCAATTTTGCATGACAAAGTAATAAGAAAGAAGAGTCTTTAGTATGCAGAAAATCTATTATAAAAATGGCTTTTTTTTTTTAGTTCTAAATCTTATCCATGAGATTTTCTTAGCATCTGTCCCAGGCTGTGTTAGGAATCAATCCTTAAAACATGATGGCTGTTAGAGGATAAAAACTAGCTGTGGTACGTTTACACCGTGGAATACGATGCAGCTGTAAGAAAGAAAGATCTCATACCCTTGGAGCCGACATGCAGGGACCTAGAGAGTATTAAGCCAGTCAGAGAAAGGTAAATATCACATGATCTCACTTATTTGTGGAATATAATGAACAAAATAAGCTGATGAACAAAAAAGATCCAGAGACATAGAAGTGGGGAACAGACTGATAAATCTCAGAGGGGAGGGGGTGGGGGAGCAGGAAGAAATAAACCAAAGAATTCATATGCATACCTGCATAGCCAATGGACACAGACAACAGTGCAGTGAAGGCAAGGGGTGGACAGGAGCAGGGAGGATGTTGTCAATGGGAGAGAAAAGGAGGGACATCTGTAATACATTCAACAATAAAGATAAATGTTTTTTTAATTGATGGCTGTTAAAAAGCAAAAAGGAAGCAGTTTGCCAACACATTGCCATGTATTGTATGTAACGCAGATAGTCAATGATGAATTTAGCAAGTTTCTAGCAGTATAAGAATATATCGTAACATCTCACTAATTGTGAGTAACTTGTAAGAACGTTAGTTATCACACAAAGCCTCGTGGTAGGAAATAGTGACGAATGTGTTCGCGAACACCATGGTGGTAAGCACAATACAATATGTAAATGTATCAAAGGAACATGCCGTACACCTTAAACATATACAATATTATGTCAACTGTATGTTAATTTAAAAATTAAACATTTTGTAAAAAAAAGAAATGACACTGTAAATCTGAGGGAATTGTTTTACCTTGAAACATCTTGAGCTTCCCTAGTACTTTCCCTTCTGGGGGGACGGGGGGTGTTCCGAAGATGCCACCCTTCCTCCCAGCCCTGCGCCGGCTCTGCCTTCCCTCAGCCTTTCCCTTCCACGTGAGCAGCTTTCTTCACTTTGCTGCAGTAAAGGCAGGTCTCACCTTTTCTCTGAACCCTCCATCCATCCCGCTCCTCTTGATCCCCTTCCTCACCCTCACAGTTGAGCTCCTGGTTGTTCTCTAGCTAATGTTTGAATAATAGTTTTGGTTCCCATACTAGATTGAAGACGTCTTGAATACACAGACCACACATCCTGACAGCACCTAACAGTGTAAGTTAATACATCTGAACTTTTCAAGGAGGAAACTCGCGTACGGACGGCACTCCGCTACCTCAGTGCCGACGACAAAGGTACTGGTAACAGTTCAACCCCAGAGGCACTAGGATCCTTTAGGGATGATAAGTACATAAGTGACCACAGTACAGGCTAGAATATGTTTTTATAAGAAAATTCGAGCCCTGGCCGGTTTGGCTCAGCGGTTGGAGCGTTGGCCTGCGGACCAGAGAGTCCCGGGTTCGGTTCCCACTAGGGGCACGTACCAAAACAAAAAAAACAAAGAAAATTCGAGCCCTGGCCCATTTGGTTCAGTGGTTAGAGCATCAACCTGCGGACCAGAGAGTCCTGGATTCAGTTCCCTCTAAGAGCATGTACCTCTGTCGCAGTTTGTCCCCGGCCCCGGTTGGGGTCGTGGGGGTGGCAAACACTTGATGTGGCTCTCTCACCTCCATATTTCTCTCTTTTTCTTCCTCTCTCCCTACTGCTCTATCTGAAGATAAATGCAAAAATGTCCTTGGGTGAGGATAAAAAAAGAAAGAAAGAAAGAAAAATCGAGAATATATTTATCTTCATAAGGAATCAGGGACGGATTCATGAAGGAGGTAGCACTTACCTAGACTACGAAGGCGGTGAGTAGAATTTCAGTAGTCGGAGTGCAGGAAGAAGTCTAGACTGGTGAACAGCAGAGTTCACAAAGATAAGTGGTCAGAACTAAGGTTGGAAGGGGTCACGAATGATAACCTGAATGTCTGCGTTAGAAAGCGACACTCCGACCATGGGTGGTCATCGAGGGCTCTTTGTTCAGATGACGGTCACAGGAAATGACTCCTGAAGACACATCTGTCCGCAGAGAGCAGAAAGACCACTCAGGAGAAGTGAGAGGTAGGGAGAGGCTGAACTGCATGGTGATGCTGAAATGGAAAACGGAGGACAGTTGTAGGGAAAAGGACATTGTAGGGAAAAGTTTTCATGATCAGGCACAGGGGATGGAGGAGTCAGGGGTGACATTAAGGTAACAGGACAAGGCTGTTGATGTTTGGAGTTCTGGATGTCTGCAGGCTCGGGTCTGAGCCTTGCTGTCCCAGTCATTCATGAAGTGACCTTAAATAAATTCCCAACCTCACTTAACCACAGCGTCCCTGCCTTGAAGTAGTGACAACGCTGACGCCTACCTCGCAGGGTTTTGGAGCCACCCTGAGGGTGGTGGGGCAGCCGTGGTCAGGGCCAGCTCCAGGGGACAGACATGTACTCAAAGGGAGGGCTGGGCAGGGCATGTGGGGGTACAGCCTCTGCTTGCGAAAATACGTGTTTGCTAAGCTCTTTTTTTTTAACAACTTTTTTTTCCCCCTTTATTGATTTTAGAGAGAGAAAGTGAGAGGGAGAGAGAAACATCAATGAGAGAGAACATTTATTGGCCGCCTCCTGCAGGCCCCCCACTGGGATCGGGCCCACAACCTGGGCATGTGCCCTGACCGAGAATCGAACCTGCGACCTCTTGGTGCATGGGTCGACGCTCAACCACTGAGCCACACCAGCCGGGCTCAATAGTAGCTCTTACGATTGCAGTTGAAAGTTTGAGTCTGGGCAACTAGATCAATGGTCCTGTTAGCAAAAGTAAGGGAGTCAGCAGGAAGAATTTGAGGACTGAAATGCTAGGTTTGAGTTTGTACTTGTTGAATTTAAGTTAACACTGGGATATTCAGATGGAGATATTCTCAGGTGGCTGAGAAAGTGGAAGTGGAGCTGAACTACAACATCGAAGGGAGAGATTTCGACTTGGCCATCATCCATCCAGCTTGAGCCCCGACACCTTCTTCCCGCGTATAAAACATCCATCCGCGCAGCTTCAGCAGCGCAGTCAGCACCCACAGCAAACTATGGACAATTCCGTTCACTCCGGGAATGTCAGCAGGAAACCCTCCCCCCAAATCAACAGGGGCAGTTTCCCCCCAAACCAAAGTAAATGACACCTTCCGTTTTATCTTCACTTTAAAACATTTCTATATGATCCGTTTCCATTATCAGACACCATGGGAAATGCAAAGGTTCTCTCAGAAATACATTAGCCTCTTGAATCAAGATGCTGTTTGTTGTCTGTTGTCATTGTTCATAGAACAACTTTAAAGGAAGC